ATTATTATTTTAACTAGGAGTTTCCATAATAAGTATTACCAAAAATGTGGTATTTTAAAGTACGAATTTAAAAAAAAATGAATATTTTGGTTATGAAATGTTGACTTGGGTAATTAGGATTGTGATTTTGGAAAATTCTGATTTTAACAAAAGTAGTTGTCTTTGAAATAGTAACAATTATAAAATAGAATAGTCGAAATAACAATATTAAATATATTACAAAACAACATAACTAATTATTGTTTCTCCAACATAATTCAAATTATTATTTATATTTTTCATATTAAACTTTTTAAAAAATTTCATATTTTTAATATATACAAAAAATTTAATAAAAGAATCAACTTGAATTGTTGTTGAATAAAAAAGGGTGTGTATTAAACATTATATTTATATTCAGAAAATAAAGTCACAAAAATTGAATTAATTCACAACTCGATTTTATTTCTTTTCTTTTTTCTTTTCAGTAGCAGCAGTTTTTGGTGCATTTTCTTTTGGTGCAGCAGCTCCTTTCTCTCCTCCTCTTTTTGGCGTGTGTATTTGAAGAGTGAAAAACAAGATTCAGTTACCTTTTTTACAACTTTTATTATTGTGATGCATTAACCACTATTATAAAAATTGTTTTGGGAGATTTTATTAGTAAACAAATTGGAAATTTAAATTATGGTATTATTTTGTATAAATGACGTAATGTATTGTGGTAATAATTATTTAATTTTTATTGTTGTGTTTGTTCAACATTTTAAAAATATTTGAAAAAAGTAATAATAATTTGGTGACTATAAGTTTTATTTTATTCTATTTTTTAAAATAGTCGGTATTGTTTAGGTATTCAATTATACTCACTTGATGTGAAATAAAAGGTCTGTCATACCATCACAACAAACTTGTTTTAAAAATATCAAGTTAATGCAATAATTTAATTATTAAATCAACATGCCAAAAACTGTGAAAAAAAAGAGAGTTGTTGCATCAAAAAAGCAGCACCAAAAACTGATGTTACTGAAAAAAAGAAAGAAAAGAAATAAAACTATATTAATTCATTATTTTTATTATTAATAACAATAAAATAAGTATTCAAAATAAAAACTTTATATTGACACTTTTATATATTTAAATAATAATATGGTTTGATTTAACATGAGATGTTTGCATTGAACTTTGTATTAATTGAACTTGTGTGTTGCAAAATAAATATCAATTTAATTTGTAATGATTTTATTTCAAGTATCACAATATAATTATAATTTAATTTAAATATTATTATTGGTATTTTAATAATTTATTATAATTAAATAGCTTTGTTATATGATAATTTGTTGATATTAATTTAATTACATTTTAATTAAAATAATTTTTAAATTTTGTTATTTAAAAATTTTTAAAAATAACAAATAAAGAAATTATATTTATTAATTATATATTAATTTTTAATAAAATTGAGAAATTTTGTTTATTTTTTTGGATCAATCTTTGAAAAAAAATAATTACCAACATTTTTAACCAAAAAACTTAATAAATATTATATCTTAATTATAACGAATATATAATAATTAAAAAATTTAATTATGAAATTAATAATTAAACTAATTGAAATTATTCGATACAAGTTACAAATGAATCAACTTTTCCAAATATATAAAAAACAAAAAAAAACTTTTCATTATTTGATTTTTTTTGACTGTTATTAATAATACCAAAAATACAAAACTTCTCAATTAACCATCATTAACAATTTGCTAAATTTACCAACTCTTTATTGTTGTTTTACTATAAATTATAGGTTATTTTTTTATTCAATTGATTTCTCAATTAACCACTTTTTTCAAAATTAAACGATAAAAGCAAATTATGTTTATTTTTAGATAAACTTGTTTTCAAAATTAATTTTTCCATTGTAAAAATAATTTTAAAGCATTTTTTATTATAATAATTCGAAATTAAAAAAAAACAGGTCATTTATTCATAAAAATGAAGGAAAAAACATTCCAAAAAAACTGAGAAGATTAAACAATGATTCCATTGTTGTTTACCATTGTCTCAGCGTATTGGATTGACTATGGCCACATAATAAAATGTTCATCAAGTTCATACTATGATCAATTTAACTCACTTATTAATTATAAAGGAGGATTATTATTACCTTTCAGGAGTGAATTATACATAGAATGCAATTCATTAGAGAACATCAACGTTTATTTTCAAGACGCCGACTCTTTAATTTATGTTTTTCTAAACAACACAAATTTGCATTTTATTAACCAAAAAACCACTTTTTATAACATCACAAACTCCACATTTATCCTTTCAAATAATTCGATTTATGAAAAAATAGACTCACAAAAACAATTCACCAGTCATGTAAATACTCAATTAAATCTACTCAAAAAGGCAGATATCATGTGTAGTGGGTATATTCAACATAATTGTGTTCGTTGTGTCAATGGTTATGACTGTACTGAGTGTTCTTCGGGTTATTCTTTAGTTCGACGTTCCGGTTGTCCCGTGACATGTCTTCATGCTCCAACCCAAGATTATCCAACAGTTTGTGGTTTAGGAAATTTTTACAGTTACAGTAATGGGTATTGTGACCCCCAAAATTGCGAGACATCAACGGGTATAACAAGCACTTATATAACATGTAAAACATGTAAAACATGTTTAACTGGTTATAATTTATACAACAATAAGTGTTATCCACAAGACTCCAATTGTCTTGTAACAAATTCCTATGGTGTTGGATGCACCTATTGTCGTACAAATTATCGACTTGTTGATCGGTTTTGTTTTCCATGCACAACAATTGAAGGGTGTTTAACGTGTTCTTCTAATGCTGATACGTGGTGCACGTCATGTGCAGAGGGGTATTACTTATATCAAGTATCTTCAATATCATCATGTATAGCATGTCCCATTGGATGCTCGTCCTGTGCAACTTCAAGTAGTGCAAAACCCACATGTAAAGGGTGTTCTTCTGGATATTATCAAATTGGCAGTACATGTTCAAAATGTGATGATACGTGTGGAGGGACATGTGAAGACACAACCGGATACTGTAAGAGTTGTATTAATGGTTATGTGTTTAATATTGCAAATCCAAAAGTGTGCATTTCTTGTCAAGAATATGACCCAAACTGCTCAGAGTGTGCGGGATATGCAAATTCGTGTTATAAGTGTTCTGTTGGGTACCCGAGTGTCTTTGGAAAATGCAAAGAATGCGACTCGACGTGTTCTGATGGGAAGTGTGATAACAACAATGGCAACTGTTTTGAATGTCAAATTGGATATACACAAAAGAGCAGTGCAAGTTTATCATGTGAAGCATGCAACACTGCATTTTCTGACTGCCAAAAATGCTCGCAAACGATTCGAAAGTGTGAAAGTTGTGTGGATGGAAAATATCCATCGACATCGTCGCCGTTTAATTGTATTTTGTGTGACACTTCATGTGAAAATAACTGCAATACAACGAACGGAAAATGTATCAAATGTAAAGAAAATTATGTGTTTAAATTGAACGACGAAATGAAGTGTGAAAGTTGTTTTTCCTTTGATCAAAATTGTTTGAAGTGTTCCGAAGATTTCGAAAGAAAATGCATAACATGTTCAAATGGGTATTATTTAAGTGGGGGAAAGTGTGTGAGATGTGATTCTTCTTGTAATTTTCAATGCGATAAAATAACAGGAAATTGTCTGAATTGCTCTTCTGGTTATGTACCTTCAAATCCAATTAGTAAAACTTGTCAGAGTTGCACTTCTTTTGACGCAAATTGTCAAACTTGTTCAACACAATTTGAGAGAAAATGTCTGATTTGTGAATCTTCGTTTTACACTTCAGCCAACGGAAGTTGCGTCAAATGTGATGTAACTTGTAATGGAGAGTGTGATGGAAGTAGTGGAAATTGCACAAATTGTCAAGTTGGATATGTATTTATGGAGCCAAAGAGTGTTAAGTGTGAATTATGTAAAACGTTTGATTCAAACTGTAGAGAGTGTAAAGACTATGGAGAGCGTAAATGTAAAACATGTGAAAACAACTACTATCCAAATCCTCTCACTTCAAAATGTCGGGTTTGTGATTCGACATGCGAGAAAAATCAATGCGACACATCGACTGGAATATGCAACAAATGCATCACTAATTTTATTTTCCAAAATCCTCGGAGTATTTCTTGTGATAATTGCAGTCAATTTGAAGAACAGTGTAAAACTTGTTCATCGGACTCAACAAGAAAGTGTGTGGAGTGTAAAACTAATCATTATGTTAATACAGAAAACAACAAGTGTAAAATGTGTGATTCAACA